CTGGGGACTGTTCTCGCCTCACCACCACACCTTGGGTAACCTCGGTTTCCTCAGCTACAGACTGGAAATACTGATAGGTTATTTAAGAAGTTGTAAACCTAAGTACTATGAAGTAAATAGTAAATCTGGTATGTAGTAGAGTCCTGAGCACACAGAAAATATCCCCTAATGTAAATTTGATAATAAATATAACAGATTGATACATAAGCAGCCAGACGACAGAAACAGTGGAGCGTAAAGTCCGTCCAAGATCTCGTGGTAAGGTTTTTGTTAGTGTGCTGAGTGTGGGTGGTCTCCCAGGACAACTCTGATTTCTCTTGGGAGGGGAATACTAGGGACTTGAGCACAGCAGCTTATGGTCTGAAGTCAGTGTGTGGCAGGAGCTTTCAGACTGGGAATACTGTTACCTCAAGAGAAAGTCCTACCTCACTTTAAGTGTCAGTTTTTAGAATGCCAGACAGGAAAAGAGTAGCTAAATATTCTGCAATATGTTAATGACTGAATGTGGCAAACACATGGGAATTAGATATGCATATATACATAAAACAATGTTAGTTGAAAAGTAGTCGAAACTATCGGTTGGTTACAGTTTTGTTAATGCAGCTGTGTACATTCATTCGCAAAGACAGAAATTTAGAGGGAAAGGTTCCTTCTTTGTAACATGGCTTAAGTCTGTTAAATATTTCCATAGTGAATGAAGACTATAATGTACTCTCAACCCTAGGTAAGTTGGAACTAGAATCAAGATAGGCCCTTACCTAAGGCAGGCACTTGACTGAAACGCACTGGAAGCTTTGCCCACCGAAGGCTACCTGTGCGTCGATGTATTTTTTATGATGCTGGAGACTCTCAGATTGATGCCAGTAAGGGTCTTCCTGTTCAGTGTGCTCATTCTGCCTGGAACCCGTTCCACACATTTCAAAAGTGCTTGCCATTCAGTTCCCTAACACAAAGAAGCCCCGGGTTCTGCCATTTCAAATGCTCGTGTAGATTTTCTCTCCTGCCCCAGTAGGGGTCAGGCTTGTTCCTACAGCAAAAGGAATGAAATGCTGACTCATGGGCAAACATGTCTTAGATGCAACTTGTTCTTTCAAGTGGATATGTAAGGATTTATGGGGGCTAGAGATGTGGCTTGCCTCGCAGGTACAAAGTCCCGGGGTTATCCCCAGCACCTGGTAAACCAGGGCTGTAAGATCAGCACTTGGGAGGTTGAGTCGGAAGGATCAGAGTTCAAGGTCTCCACTGCCACAAGTAACTAGTGAAGCAGGGCCAGCTATGAAGCATTGTCTCAACAAGCCAGAAAGGGGAGGGAAAACTTGTGGAGGAAAGAAAAAAAAACATAAAACCAAGAAAAATCATTGGTTTAATGTTTATGCCAGTTTAACAGTATAATATATGGGCCAAGAACATGACCACAACTTCTCTATGAAGGTGGTTTCAGAATTGCCAGTGTTCACCCTCCCGCCATTCTTGTACATTAATGAATGACAATTTCATGTGGTTCATCCCTACTTCTATTAATTTTCTAGGTCACAAAGTGTAATGGGTATACAGTATTTTTCATGCATGCATGCATATCTATCTATCTATTTATCTATTTATTAGGCAAGGTTTCTTTGTGTAGCAGGCTGGCCTCAAATGCACAGAGATCTTCCTGCCTCTGCCTCCCAAGTTCTGGGGTCAAAGGTGTTTGCCACCACCACCGGCTGCATGTGTGCCTTTGTGTTATTCCCAATTCGTTCTCCTACCCACTAATTCAACAGTTTTTAACCATTAATTTAGAAAAATAAGGGTTTTTTTATTACTCAGTTATTGTTGGCATTTCAGGCTGGATCGGGATGAGTCAGGTATCCTGGAGCTCGGGAGTCACAGAATACTGAGTGTTACACAGCTCAGATGGAAAGGTGTCCTGGAGCTCGGGAGCCAAGGACTATCACAGGTTGTAGTAAGCTTAGCTGCTTACAGCCCAGCCTCAGGGAAAGGCTTCCCCAGTGTATAGGCTCTGCTCCAGCAGGATAGGGTCTTCCAGCTGGGGATGTTCGCCCAGTGTAGCAGTTTTGCTCCACAGGAGGTTTCTAGGGCGAAGTTGCTACAGTTCAGCTCTGCTCCCTGGGAGCAGAGAGCAGAGAGCGGAAGGTTCCGCTCTGCCAAGGGAAGGTTTCCAGGGCAAAAGTGTAACAGCCCTGCTTGTTCTGCTCTGCTCTGCTCTGCCCAGAGTCGCCTCTGCTCCACCACCGCAAAAGAAGATCTTCACCCAAAGCTCATCCAAGGGGTTTATTGGAAGGAAGAATCCAGGAGAGTGGCTGCCAGAGTGGCAGAGGGCAGCCTGGTAGAGCAAACAGACACAGGATTTATATAGGGCTTCCAGGGTGGGGATTAATCAGATTTTACTGCTGAGCTCAGATTGGCTAGAGCTCTGCTCAGGGATTGGTTAGTTTTCTGCACAGGATTAAGGTCAGATTTGACTCTGGTTTCAGGGCCAAAGTGTATTTCTTTCTCTGGTCCTTTTTAGCCTTTTGGCTCCAATTTTAGGGCCATGGTGCATTTCTTTCACTGGTTCTGATTCCAGGGACAAAGTGTGTTTCTTTGGCACTGGTTTCAGGGTCAGGGTGCATTTCTTTGGTTCTGGTTGCAGGGCCAAAGTGTGTTTCTTTGGTTCTGCTCGGGAAGGGGGGTGTCTTTGGCTCTGCTCGGGGTGTGTTTCTTTGACTCTGCTCAGGGTGTGTTTCTTTGACTGGCCCTCTTTTCCCTACAGTTATCAAAAGCTAATTAAGTGATATTTCTGTATACTCCAGTCCCCACCAGCTTTGAACGAGTCAGTGAGTAAATGAGGGGGTAGAGAAAAATATGAAAAAGCTGTGATAGAAATAAAAATCTTATTTTAGAATCAAAATCCTGTGTAAAAAAAAGTAGAAGAAATATGTTGCTCAAAAAGATATTTCTGAAGGGCACAAAGCATTAAGGACTTGAAGGGGCTCGGTTCTGGTCCCATCATGGCCGAATGTGAGTTTCACAGGCATCAAGCTAGTCCACTCAAACTGCCCACATCTAACCTTTAGTGACTTCCTGTTCTCCAGGCTTGTTCACAGTACACCCCATTTCCTTCCTGCGAGGTAGTTGGGTCCATAGCCAAGGCCCTATTTCTCAAGCAGTCATTGGTCCTGACCTTGGCAATTACCTGGCCACTCAGTGTCTCCTAGAGTCAGTTAGCTGTGGGGAGTGCATGCCTGGTTGCTTCTTGCTGTCACACGGGGGTTTTAAAGGCCAGTACATTTTACAAAGGAGTGAGTTCTTTCAAGGAGAAGCCTCCTCACATGAGTTATTTCAATGCTCCATCTGTAATTGTTGCTGTAGTATCTAGGAATCACGAAAGAAGAGCAGGTCTTGGTGGGCATTGTATTCAAAATCGAGGAGTGTAAAGAGACCTGAGAAGCATCTAGGGACGCACTTCATTTATAGATGAAGATATGGATGCCAAGAGCCAGCATAGCACTGAAGGCACCTAAACCTACCACAAGGGTGTTAGGACCCAGGGCATGCTGACTCCCAGCCTTGCATTCTCTCTAGAACATCAAAACAGATCTCAGGCTTCGAAGCCTTCAGTGGGTAGCTTCTGGAATAAGGCATGTATGCAGGGTTTACTCTGAGCCAGTGAAGGACAGTGAAGGAGTTATTCTATAGAGATAGAATGTGAATGCTTTCAGATGAAAATACCAGACAGTCAGATGACCCTCAAACTGTTCATTGGGATGAGAGGTGGTAAGGGAACCCCAAACTGCTCTCAAAGGACCCTCTGGCTTTCTTGATCCAGGCAGCTCCTATCACAGCAATCAGAAATGCTTCACCCAGAAGAAAACCCGAGACAGGTCTCGGCTGGAGGGAAGATAGAATCTACCATATTTCCATTCTTTCCACCTCTATTTCTGCTGTCAAAGCAGACTAAATTTGTGGTCCCCAGTTCTTTCCACCAGGAAGGGCTTTTATTGCCAATTCATTTATTTCTTCAGCAAGCATCAATCAGCTAATTACTTGAAGGCACAGGAGAGCCAGAGGGGACTTAGATTTCAGGGACATCTTGTAAGGGTTTGAGGCTTCTTTCCCAGAACTGTGTACAAAGCTTTTGAGCATGTGGAAATGTACTTTTCTAGAGTTGTTAACTTTTATCAAACCCATGACTTCAAAACTGTTAACAACCACCATACGGATATGTCTCAGAACCTAGCTTCTTGCATCAGTCCTGCTCAGGGTATGCTTCCTACCTGTCGGTCCAAGAATGTGGAAGCTGACAGGGTGTGAACAAGCGAGGTATCTCTGCCCAGACCTCTAGGATTTCCTGCAGAAATACAGGAAGCTGTGTCTGCCCTCCCAAATCCATGCACTGCTTCTGTGGGCTCTGCTCAGGCATTTACATCCTTCTGAATGTGGTGCTCTTGAACTTCTGTGAGCTTGAAGAGGCTACAACTGGGATGTGTTAGCAGACTGTCCCTACAGTCCCAGGAAGGGGCAGATACTGCATCACTCCTGGCCTTTAAAGGCTCTCAAACATCTGCCCCCCTTCCTCCCCACCCCCTGCATCGTCACTGACTTTCCCAGTCTGCCCATCCTCCCGCTGGGAGATCCGAGTTGCTGTCTGGGAATCACATTGGTTTTGTGGTTGATTCACTGTGTCAGGTGATACCTGCTACTCCATGAAAGTGGTTTTGCAGAAGGATAGAAATACCTCCCGTAAGAATGCCAGGGTGAGCTGAGCATGCCATTTGATCCAGAAGTCTGGATTGTAGTCATTGTTGCTTGGCATTGACACCAACATCAGAACAAATGTGAGAGACTGTGGAGACACAACCTGGCCCGGAGAGGCCTGCTATGTGCCTGTGTTCACGGGTGTGTGAACGCCGACCTGGCCGGGAGAGGCCTGCTGTGTGCCTGTGTTCACCAGTGTGTGAACATGGAACCCACTGGCCACAGACGCAGTGCTGAATTCTGTTCTTTTTCCCCTGTAGAGAGAAGACACAGTTCAATGTGCAGGCCTTCTCCCTCTCCAGCATCTCCAGCCTCCAATTCCAGGACATCACTAGCACAGGCAAAGACAAAAGCCTGTCTCAGCGGCCATAACGCTGTCAGCAGCACCTCAAAGCCATTTAAAACGCCCAAAGACAATCTACTTACCTCCAGCAGCAAACAGCACACAGTCTTCTCTACAAAGGGGCCAAGGGATAAACCATGGTGAGTTTGGGTGCTGGGTGCTGAGACGGTGCCTCTACACTCTGACTATGACCCTGGGTGTCATGTTCACAAGTCTGGGGGACTGAGGAAGGGACCCAGAGTGATAGCATGAGGAAGAGAAGCATGGGACTGTGTATGCCTGGACAGAAGAATATCTGTATGCTCGAGAGCTGAGCTGTGTTGTGTCTAAGGAAAAGGAAACAGGGAAAGATGCCTCAGCGCTAGGGTTGCCTCAGCTTTCTGGCCCAGTGAAGAGAAATGCTGGTATAGATAGATAGTCACTGGAGGAGGAAGAGGGGGAAGGCAGTGATGGTGCCTTAGGGTCTCGGCTCCCGGTCCCCTGAGGACACCGAGTGTCGTAGATCTGACCGAAGGGAGGGCTGGGGAAAGGAGCAGTAAAGGGAAGGTCACCCTCCTGGTGGGGAGTCTTTACCAAAGCACAAGAGGTTCCCTACGGACTGCACAAATTGGAAACCATCCTGAAAATATGAAGGATGAACACAGAGCACTAAGGACTGGCTTGTCACAGCACCTTCTGCTTTATCTTCCAGGCCTCGGGAAGACAGATAAGGGGCAAGTGTGGAGTGTGTCTAGTTTATATATTTAAAGAGAAAGGGTGTTCATTAATTAATGGTAGTTGATGGCACTTACCGTCCTACCCAGCAAAGCTGTGGAATACGGCCATCGTCAATGGGGGTGATTGTTGTGCACTGGAAATTGCGATGACTTGTGAAGAGCTCATTATGCCAGATCAATGAGACAACCTCAGGTGAGGGGAGAGGTTGGAAGATGGGTGTGGCTGCACCGGGTATGCTCTCTGGGAGCTTCCTGTGTGAGGGTACAGTTGCTTAGGAGAGACCTGGTCTAAGAGTGGCCTCTGATCAGTTGTGGCAGGGTCCACCTGCCAGACCCTCTTCTCAGGCCCCCAGAGAGCAGAGGACTTGTCTGCTGAGGAACGAATGTCTGGGGACAGGTGTCTGCCAACTAACGTTGATTGTGCTGTGCCTCAGTTTCCTATACTGTGCATATACTAGCTCTGCCCCATGGGGTACTGTGAGGATCCAGTGAGCTTCTTTGTACACAGCAACATGCGTAGTACCTGAGTCAGAGTACATGCACAGTGCATGTTTAAGGGTAATTACCATGAGTATTATCCTACCATTTGTTCCAAAATCTCATTACCTGGGATTAAGATTGAGGAGTTCATCCAACTGGAAAATCAGAGAAATGGCTCTTCAGAGATAGGCATGATGGTGCCTATGATCCCAGCATTTAGGGGTCCAAGGATAGAGGCCTGCCAGGGTAGGTATTCAAGGGGGCTATACTAGACTATATAGTGAGACCCTAAGTAAAAAACAAAAAGAGACAGATTCAGTGGAAATGTGAAAACGGCAAAATAATTTATTCAGGCCGCGGGAGTGTTGCTTGGTTGTAAAGCATGAATATGGTCCCCAGCACCACAGAAGCAAAGAAAGAAGAGAAGGTTCTGCATCTGGGAACGACCTACAGACCCATGTAAGGAAGGCAAGGATGCTTGAGTGAGATATTTGAGCTCACCTTTTGAAGGGGCAGCTGAGGGGTTGTGTGACCCCAAAGCACTCCACCGTGACTCTCCACCAGGTCACTGTCAGGGAGACTGCTGAGTTAGATCACATTCCCCATTCAGCACAGCTGACCCTCTCAACACACTGAGACCTGCCATGGGCAAGGCATCTTCAGCTAGGGGCAGAAAGTGCTGTGAAGTCATTGTCAAGGGAGCAGGACTGACAGCAAGAATGTATACTACGGACTGGCTGGTGTAGCATGAGCGGTGTGGTTCAGTAATGCCCATTCTGCACACTGCAAATCTCCAGGCAGGAGGCCTCAGCAGTGCCAGGCTTGCACCCGAGGATGGAGAGGTCACGGAGAGATCATGGAGAGCCACTGGTCTTCAGTCCACACTGGAAGGCAGAAGAACCTGGGTCCCATGTTGATGGAAGGTGACATTACAATGACAGCAGCACAGTAGACTTGCCAGCAGGGGGCAGAGGTGGGCAGGTGGAAAACAACAGTCAGTGAATGGCCTTGCCGGGGTACATGGTGGAAGAAACCCAACACTGAGCTAGAGGTAGGAAAAATGAGTTCAAAGCTAGGCTCTGCCATGGACTTTCTGTGTGTCCTGGAGGCAGTCACTTAGAATCTCTGTTTCACTTTAAACCTGAATTCTAAATCATAGCCCTCTCAAGTTCCCCATTGCCTGCTAGACATGAGTGAGATCAAAAGAGGCAATTTACTCACAGAGGCGTCCAGCCCCCTAAGCAGATAGAGGGCTGGCTCAGCAGGTAAAGCGCTGGCTGCTTCTCAGAGGAAAAAGGTTTAAGCGCCCATGTACCAGCTAGCAACCGTCTGGAACCCAGTTCCAGCAGGTCTGAGGCCGTCTGCTGGGTTCTGAGGGTACCAGGCCCACATGTGCTACCCAAACATACATGCGGGCAAAATGGCCACCCACATAAAATAAAACTTAAAGACAAATTTTAAAATGCATGCTGGCCTTTAAAGCTTTCTACTTACATAGCAAACTAAAAATTGCATTGCCCCACGATAAGCTGAGGAATGGCTGAAGCGTGTCTCACCTGGTAGACCTCTTTTAAGTCCTCAGCCTGGGTTGGATGCCCTTCTCCTGGGTATGCACTGCACCAGGATGACTACTGGGTACCCGGACTGCAGGTGCTTTTTCTAACTTGCATGAAGCTCTATATGTAACATTAGCGGGACTTGTGCACCCCCAGCACTTGTAATAGTGGGCACATAATTATTATTGTAGGTGCCATTAGATATTGAGTAAAGACAGTGGCATGTTCTATCTTTACTCGATACGGAAGAGAGCAGGGTGAGTTGGTGTAATAGGTAGTAATGGGTCATCAGATTGAAATAGGGAATTTAGGATCAACTTACAGAGGGTTTTTATGTTGGTGGGGCTCACTCTTAATTTAATAGGCAATAAGGAAACTGAGAAATTCTAAGAGGGGTGTGGTTTAGAATCACAAACTATTTAGCCTTGAAAGTGAGATCATACATGCTAAAAGTCACACACAAAATCTATACAGAACCTGGCTTTGAACTTCCTTTTCTTGTCTCTAGTTCAACAAATACTCATAGAGACATGAGTTCAGATTCCCATCAAGCACATAAAAAAGAGGTATGGGAGGCAGGAAGGTGACTCTGTTGGTGAAAGACCTGTCACACAGCACGAGGACCTGACTTCACATTCCCAGAACCCACATAAAGCTTGTGTACAGCAGTGTGTGTCCGGTGATGGGGGGAAGGGGTGGGCAGACAGATCCCTAAAGCTCGTTGGCCAGCCAGTCTAGCCGAATCAGTGAGCCTCTTATTCGATGAGAAGCCATCTTAGAAGCTAAGGTTTGGAATGCAACCAAGGAGGGCAATCAGCTCCTAGCAATAGCTTCCATACGCACCCACAAACACATAAACATACCATACACACATGCAAACCTACATATGAAAACATATAACTTCCTCAGACCCTGTAGATCAGCTTACTTTGGGCTAAATCTCTTTAAAAGAGAGTCTTCTTTATATATGGTCAATGGTGGATCCACCTAGTAGCAGCAGCCATGGCTCAGCCCCATAAGAGAATAGGGTACCACATATGGCTAGCCTGGGAATAATTCAAAACTCAAAGTTTAGTTTCTGGGCTGGTGGTGCAGCTTGATGCTTCCCATGCATGGGGGTCTGGGCTGAGCCCCTAGTACCACAAACCTAAAGAAAATGTAGTTACCATTGAGTCAAAGAGTCATAAAGTCATAGATGCCAGGTTAAATCACAAGCCAGAGATGTCTGTAGTAAGAACCTAGACATAGAAAATGGAGTCTAAGTGGTAAATTTTATGCCACGTCTGTTTTGCCTCAATTAAAAAATTATTTTTAAGCAAGTGGGAAGGATGTTGTAGGCAAAGGGCTCACAATGGTCAGAAGCATTTGCCCATGAGGAGAAGTGGGCTGTGAGTCCAAGGAAGCAGGCATAAAGTCCCACTGAGTGCAGCAAATTTGGAACCATACAGAGATGGCCTACAGAATTAAAAGACCAGTTTTCAGTTGTAAAGTCGCCTTGGCAGTAGTACTCAGGAAGGCTAGAGGAACATTCTGGAAGCACTGAGAAGAGTGAGGGTATTTTTGCCTAGTCCAAGTGAGGTGTGGTGAGAGCCTAGACCCAAGGAAGGGGTGGTGGCACATGGAGGGTGGTCTGAACCCAGGAGAGCACGTCACACAGCTGAGCGGTCTCAGACGTGGATGGCTAGGTCACTGCTGCTACCGCTTCCCCAAGCGAAGGAAAATGAGGCCAGGCTCCCTTAGAGTCTGGGCATCTGCAGGGGCTGAGAAATAACCGCAAAGAGGTATCTGTTAGACACTGAATGTTTAGTCCTCGGGCCAGGAGAGAGATAGGGTGGGACAGAAGACACCGTCGCTATGGCTCAGATATCCCGAAAAGGAGGGGGAGCCCGCAGGCCCCCGAGAATGGGCGAGGAAAGTCCCTGAAGCAGGGACCACCGATCCTTCTGCGGCATGCTGCCCCTGCTCAGCACCATTCTCTTGTCCCGTTGTGCCGGTCAGTTTGCTCCCCGGCCGTCCCTGGCCCATTCCTCCTGGCCACCAACCCGACACACTGCCGGCACTGTCCTTGCCTGCCAAGCCCTCTCCCCATATGTCCTCCATACATCTCACTTCCTGGGTTCCACCTGCTCGCTCGGGGGTGACACGGTGTCCCCAGCATGGTGGCCTGTGGACAGCTGTGCAGTACAGGAGCTGCTCTCACTAGCGCTTGTTGAACTCAATGTGGAACAGAACCAAACAGGTCCCCTGAAGGGACTGTGTGATCCCCGGAGGCGTGGCCTTCTATCTGAAAGTGTCTGGAGTAGCAGTATCCAGACGACAGTGGAAATGCAGGTGCTTCCCCGCCTCCCGTTCTACACTAGCAGCCACCTTGAGAAAAGTGAAAGGCCA